ATCTACCTATTATTATTAAACAAAATGTGTTTATTTCATTTTTAAATACTTATTTAAACCTTACATCATATAAAGTCAAAAGGTGATTCCTTTCTTGGCGGATTTCAATAAATCGTGTAAATTTTATTCAGTTTTCCTTACCTTTAAGTCATAAATAACGACTTATATCCTCATTAGCGCATGAAAACAATATTTTTTAACATAAATATACTGTATGTTTTGGTTTTAGCTTTTGAAAGTTAAATCTAAACAAATTAAGCACGATCCAGATTGATAAAAATCATTATTTGAGGTAAGATTTTTTTTTTAACAGAAACTCATTTTTATTAACTGACACTTCTCTCGTTATTAAATGAGTTGTTTTAGTAGAAAGAGAGTCCATCTTCCATTTGTTGCATTGTCGACTCGATCTCTAAAATCTCGCTAAGAACCACATGCAATATACAATAAATAAACATAAAACCTGAATTTATTATGATGAATTTGAATGTCAAAAATGCATTCACTTATATTATGAAAATGTGTATATTCTTACACGAGGCGTCTGTGGCTTAGGTCGTTGACTTCAGACCACTTTGCCCTAAATACTGTGGCTTCGAAAAACCGCCAAAGAAGACTTGGATCATCATACGAGGAAGCTGTTAGGCGAACCGAACTTCTAAACGTCAGTTTTCTTAAATGCCAGTTCATGCCGGAAATATTGCAGGAAGGGGCTTTGAGGTCTTCAATCGTCTTAAAACCTTTAACAGTGTTAATGCGAAGTTAAAAATATCTTTTTTACTGAACATTTTCAATGACTTTATGAAGGATTATTGAAAACTATTTTGCTTTATATACAAATTAATTTTGATTCATTCTCCATGAGTTATCGTTTTCTAATACTGGCACTGTTTCTTTAGAAATAATAATATTCACTTCCGTACATGAGTATTACATCACTGAATAGATACTCAAAGGAAAAAAATCCAAAAGTGGTGGCAATGTACATTGAAAAACAATACTATTATTTATTTATTGATAAATAAGATAAAAAAATTGTGAAAAACAGTTTTTTTTAAATGGAAGCTATTAACGTTACATTCAGATACAAGTTGCATGTAAACGTGTGAGATAACAATCTTGGAAAGAAAAAAATATAAGCGTGATAGATTAAATACAAAAGATTGAACGACATGTTGTTGTAATTAGTATATTTTCTGATGGAAAATTGGCTAAATGCTTTTAAGCAAATTGATGTGAAAGAAAGGTCATTAGGACATACTTTTGCTCAACCATAAATAGTAGAAACTTGTATACATGCTGCTATTGCTTATGTAAGACCATGCTAAATTTGATGTCCTATGTACTTATCAAAATATGATAAATCAAGAAATACATTTATAACGCTTAGGCTAGAGCCGTGCAAGCTCAAATTCTTAGGAACGTCGGTGATTCTACTAAGGTCGTGCATGACATAACGCACATAGGGGCAGCTGAGGTCTTCCTCCACCAGTAAAAATGGAAACGAACTGAAGAAGTAATACACGACGCGTTTAGCATACTTGTTTCGTTCTCTGTTATAAACCACCAGTCGTTTGACCCGTAAATATTATCAGAAAAAAGGAACAAACCTTTCTTTTCTTTTTTGACATCGGTATAGTGGTTATATTTAGAATATTTGGAAAGCAATATATAGTTTTACTTACGTACATGTTCGCCTTACAGAAGCTTATTTCTTACGGTTTCAGTAGGGTGAATGTAGATGTTTGTGGAAACAAAATTTAGATAACATTATTGTTAACTCCTGAATTCTTACAAACCCTTTTGGCATGATGATCAGTCGGAATACCTGTATGTTGAAATGGAATTAATGGCGAGAAATTTTATTTTCAAATACAACTGTGAATGATCATTGACAAAACGTTTTTATGCACTACAGGATTTAAAAAAAATATTTTTGTGGAATCAAAAAGGTGCGAAAGATTTTTCTATTACTCTGTTAACAAAGTTCTCTGTTTTTTAATACAATCTTTATAATAGCGTGTTCTATTTAAACGACTTAAATACTTACTGTGTTCCCTATTTATTGTTATTGAACTCAAGAAGAATTACATCCTGAATAAACTATATAATTAAAATGTAAAATTACAAGCTACACGAATACATTTTTCTAGGTAAAAATATGAAAAATATATGATTGTTGTATCTTCAGATTTATTTCCTTTGATGTCTTAACTTAAGAAAAGAAGCATTCAGGCTAATCATCAATTGTAACAAGCAATTTGTTTTAATGTCACCACTTATTATTTTCAAACATACAACCTTTCATTATAAAATAAAATGTCAAAACTATCATCTAGAGTTCTCTGTGTCTGTTCCCGTCGGTGACTTATGAGATAAACTGTGGAAAATGTGTATGTCTTGAAAGGGTAACTATTTAATAGTGGGCGGAACTAACAATGCAGCTGTTGTGACGGTTAGTAACAATGTGTTTGACTTAATAAGACTCCAATTCAAGACTATAAAGTGTATTTTATTGTTCTCTTGGGCGTTTTGTATAATGATTTGTATAAACCTTGAACTCCTTAGAGGTATCTTATTCAATTTAATTTTATTCACTGCTATACGCACATAGTCTCATTGAATTGCTTTCGAAGATTCTCAAAAAACATTTCAGGCTGACTTATAAACAATAAATATGATACTTACTTAGGTTACTTGATTGTTTCCGAAAAGAGTAAGTTAAGCATGAATGTTATGAATATTAATAGGACATTAGAAATCATCAGTATCATCTACTCCAATTGATGTATCTACAGCAAATAGTATAATATGACTGACTTGTATTGACACTTATAAAGAACACAACCTGAAAATCAAAAGGAACATATTGTCAATCAGACTAAAAAGCTTTAAATCAAACGTTCAACTGGATAGGTAACAAGTATCATCGTTGTAATTACCAAGAGTTATATCTATATCGTGTTACCAAGATAATTTAAGGTATTTATTTACAACATCTCGCACATATTTAAGGCATTACTAGCCTTATGTCTCAGTTGTAACTTCATTAGGCATGTCAGATGTCGATTTATTTTCTTAAAACACGTTTCCAAATGATAAATTGTTCGCTTACATAAACTTTCAGTGCAAAGTCATCGAGTTATAGAAATAATACTGCTCTGATAGTTTAAACATAAAAATGTGCTGAAGACGAAAATAATTTGGTATGGGTGTTTGAAAGTTTTTGCACTTTATTTGCTCCGCATTTAAACTGACTGTGTAATTTTCACCCAATAGTTTTTGTTTCGTAGTACGGGTATTAATACTTTAAGAACGTTTTAAATAAATATTTTGTGTCTGGATAAGATATTTGTTTTAAACAGGCTATGTTAGCTACATGCCACACTCAAATATACCAAACAAATATATTTGTGAAAGACGTCTTCATGTAAATGAACTTGCGTGAAGCTTTTTTTTTTGTTGCTAAAAGATGCTAATGGCATTGTCAAATCATTTTGATTGCAACTCCTGATTAAGATACTAATATAACATAGGTTTTTGTATCATAATTCAACATCTAATAGCCGGTAAATCAATGCAAAGGAGCAAGCATTTGATAAGTATTTACTAAAAATAATCACTTATTTGAAGTTGTTTCAGTTGTTTTAGACTTTTTATATTTTAGCAACCAAAATATATCTTAACTTTATGTAATTCGTAAGGTTCTCATGATAAAACATTATTAATTATATTCTTCTTCTTTTATTTCATGATCTCTTCATTCTGCCATTTCTTATAAAGACTTTAAATGAACTAGATCAATTCATTTATCATTTTCTGTGAGTTTGTAAGGATTAAAACCGTCTGTTCCAACATTTTGAAATAAATTGACCTTTAAACGTCTCGTGAGACATAATTAATCTCTCACGAAAAAGAAAGTATAAAAATGTGCATTCCAATTGAGAATGGAGCTTAATAAATTAAAATTATAACAGCCTGTAAACAAAAACGTTCTTGTGAAGTTATTTTATGGACGGAATGTTGTTTATAATTATTTGTATATATTAGAATATTAAGTTATCGTGCAATATCTAACAATTCAAATCGATAGGGTAGATTATACACACACACACAGCGTATCATTCTTTCGAATAAAAATTAACTTATCTTATACTTGGATATTGAAGAACATTCATTTTTTTCAAAACACATTTGTATCCTTGTTAGATATTTAAGTAAAAATTAACTTTGTACAGAAAAACTATATAAGGATAGTCATACAGAATAAAATATGAGATAGAAAAGAACGAAAAATAAGACAAAAAAAGATAATACTAACGCTATCTTTCAAATATTTAAGGAATGAATCCTTAAACGTCAATGACTATAACATTGTATTAACTATTAACATTCTTATCATATAAAATTTGACTTTAATATACTTTTTATCATGCAACTGCTATGGTAACTGCCCGATAACACTTGCCTGATAATTATTTTTGATATCAGGTCAGTAACCTGATATCAAAAATAAACCCCGCCCATTTTAACGGACTTTTTTTAATTGCTAATATTCTCATTTTCATCAGCATGTGAATTCTACAATGTAATCTCATCTCATACCCTTACAAGTCTTGAATCAAGATGCGATATTTATTTTTTTATTATTTCGATTTCAATTACAAATAAATTAGATAGCGAATAGTTTTAGCACCAACTAAATGAAGTGACGTCATAATTTATATTGCAAATGACATCATCGATGTTCACGTCATACTATATACATGTAATCATAACAAACAGGCTAGACGATTTCTTTGAGAACTTGTAAATGTTTACTTTATTTCGCCGGAATATTATTTAATAAGTGAACAAATTGTTTCGTTTTAAAAAAAATAAGACGCATGTTTGTGTAGCTTGTGTTTGATTGCCGATTCAAGACTTTTCTTTGATTGAAATTATCGTGAACTTTTGAATTTGACAATTCAAGACAAAAAATGCAGTAAAGTTTAGTTTATGTTAGCCAGGACAGCCGATTTTAAAACAAATTTTATAACCATGCAAATCTTTGTTGTTTCTGTTAGGGAATACAATGAGAAACACAAAAAAATTATCAAAATTAAATTTCTTTATTAATAAGTATTTTTTTTTAATTTTTGAAAATGTCAATTTTTCAAAATTTGTCTGCCATTTTTCGGATGTTCCAGCGCTTACTTATTCAACTTTCTAATTACCTTGTGAAAACCAGAAAAAAAGTGTTCCAGAAGTGTTCCAGAATGAATTATTACACTGGTGCTCTGCTTATACTGTCACAGGATGCGTATCAATTACCCCACAATAAAGCTTAGCAAGAAATTCTATTTGTAATTCATTTAATATATGACTAATACCAAGCAACAAATGTGACTCCAGTATTGTCCTAGATTGCAAGTATTGACCAGAAGTTAGAGAAACAACAGTTGAATGTTAAAATCTTATTTAACTATGTCAATACACTAAACAAGCAACTCAAGATCTCCCTTGCTATAGTCTTTAAGGAGCTGGTAGGTGTATATGGCTGGATCCCCGGAGTATTTAATGTTGTACCAATCACTGTACCCCGGGACCTGTAAAATAAGTCAGATATATGTTACATTTTTATCAAATGTTAGCAGTATGTGTTTCATTTGTTTAGTTAAAATGTGTACAAATGCTATAGGCTGTGCATAATATAGAGGATATTTGTTTAATTCAGTGTAAGATCGGAATATATTTCACCGAGTGAGCACCAAAAGGTATATTTCAAGAGTGGCGCAGCCACGAGTGAAATATGAACTTTTGGTGTTCACAAGGTGAAATATATTTCGATCTTACACTAAACTAAACAAATTTTCTTTTTATTATATGCAAAGAAGCGTTTTAAAAAGACATTTAACCTAATACAGAATGAAAAGCGCGCCAAATAATAATACAACGTGACGTCATTTACGACGTCACGTCATTAAGTTGGTACCCAGTTCTGTGCACGCTGGTATTTCACTGAAACAACGTAAGGGGCTTAAATTCAAAACAGTGAAATTATCAAAGTGGTAATTTCACTGTTTCAAACAGTGAAATTACCAGTTTTATGTCACTGATATACTTCTATAAACCACCGAAAAGCATGTAATAAAAATATTTTAGCTATTCTAGTAATAAGAATACTTTTCATGCTTTGCTAATAAGAATACTTTTCATGAAGCATAATAAGCCAGACTGATCATTATATCATATATGTCAAAATAATTTATGAAATCTTTTTTACAAAACTAAGTCAGCCATATCAATAAAAACAAATTACTCACTTTAATCAATATATACTGGAATGTTTAATTAATATGATAAAAACAGAATATTGAAAATACATATTTTAATACTTTGTATTTTATTCAAATGTTAATTGAATTTTACTTTTCAACTAAAGAAACACATGCAAAGCAATAGAGGTTATTGGATAATTACAAAATTATGCCTCACACTGTGTTAGTTTGGTTATTTTATAAAAAAACAGGCAACATGTTTTAGTAATACCTGCGATATAACTTGACCTATGTACTGCACCAAGTTATTGTTTTCCATGAACTTGTGCCGGACTTTCTGGCCAACAAGCAATGGGGAATTTTCAGGCTGTGTGGATGGCTTGCTATAAGAATCAGTTACCAATTGCTTCACATTTTTAGCTAGTTCCTCAATGTTAAGATTTACTCTTTTGTCCCCAACTTTCTTACTGAACGAGTATATTGATTTGTTGTCTGAGACTTGTTTGAGAATAAGTTTCCTGAAATTCAGCTGACATTTTAATGCTGACAATGTGCCCGTCTTTGTTTTTTCTCTTGAAATTGCACTATCCACTTCTTCTTGTGACTGCCAAAGTCCCCAGAGTTGTATTTCATTCACAAGTTCTTCTTGTTTCTGTAATTTCCTTTGTTGTAGTTCTTTCTCTTTCAGAAGTTTAAGTTCAACATTTCTCTTCATTTCTATCTTTATTTCATTTACACGGACCTTAAATTTTTGTCTCAGTTCTTTAGTCTTTTTTCTTGCTGAAATACATAATTCTGCTCTTTCTTTCTCAGGTTTAGACATTATCCAGTCCAGTGTCTTATTGTGGCTAAAAGCAATTATTGCTTCTCCTGTTAGAATGGTGATGTTTGGCTTCTCTCTTAGTAATCTATCTAACTGACCAAAAACTGTTTCACTGAACTTATTATGTTTTGGTGTTCCTTTCACTTTTTCCTTCACACCTTCATCGCAGTTATACCACTCCCCACCAGGAAGATAGTCTTTTAGCAAAGACTGAAGAACATTTTTCAACGTTGGTATTAGCACTGATAACACAGTTACAACATTTTCATCAATGTCTGTAGATTTAATGAGTGACTGGAAAATTGGAGACATGGCTAGTTGTTCATTGTAAGCAAATGTAAGCAGGCTATTTCCACTCATGAATTGTTCAGCATTCATACTGTCCATGTAATCCATTAGTTCTTTATAATGGTCTTGCATGTCTAAAATGTTGATCTCTGTATTTTCGATAAGACACCAGAGAGGTTTTGTTATTAGTTCAGACACAAGTCCTAGTGCACGGCAACCTGCACGGTACTGCGGTACATTGAGGTCATGTTTGACAGCTTTCAATAGTCTATTAGTGTCACCACCTTCAAGGTATTCTATAAATTTCTCAGACAAAAAATAAACAGCTGCTGCATTGTTAAAAAGAATGTTAAATCTATTACCTCTGAACCTTTCAAGAGGCACAGTAACGAAACCATTCTCTTTCAGAAAGTCACTGACATATGCTGTAAATGGTCCATGAACACCATTCTTCTCATCACCGCCCCTAGCAAAAGATTTTGAACAACATCTTATAAGTCTTGTTGTTCCAGACTCTGATGGTTTTTTGAAACTTGTGTCATAAATGGGTGCTTCCTCAAACAGAAGTTTGTCCGTTTCTAGTAGTGCCTTTTCTGCCCCCTCTGCAAGGTGCACAAGAACATGCAAAGAACAAAAAAAGTTCATTAGTCTACTCATGGAATTTTTTTCATTTTCAGATAATCCATCCCATTCAGTATTTTGTTTCAGCACATCTTTTCGAAAATCTTCTAAAAGCTCATTAAATTTCTTTTGGGTTGCTGCCCTGTCAGACATAGTAGCATTGATATTCATTAATATTTTTTCAGACACATGACTTCCAGCTTCACTGAACGAGTCATCAATGTCACTTAAAATTTCTTTGAAAGTGTCAAGTGCACTCTGTCCCGATTTAGTGGCCATCTGTCGTAGTCCAAGAACCCATATTCGCCCAGAGTCATCTACAGCATGAAATCCTTCATATTTCTGTCCAAACTTCGATGTCTCATCACTTAGAAGACAGGTGTTCATTTTTGCTGGAAGGTCTTCAGCAATTTGTTGTTGTGCCAAATGAAGCCGCTGTATGTTCATATTATTACATGTGCTTTTTGATGGTAAATGACTAGCATCCATTTTAGCAAGTTTCAACACATCACGTATTACTAAAGGTATCTTAGTGGTGGAAACATTATGTTGAAGTAAAGAATACACACATTGTTGCATTTCTGGTGTATATGCTCTTAAGTCATCATTGAATGTTATGATAGTCTGTTCACACATTTGGCTTAGCCATTCAATTTCAGCTTTTGCATCTCTTTTATCCTTCTCCAGCAGCTCAATTATTCTATCTCTTACCTCACTTTCAATCGTAATTTGTTCTAGTGTTTGCTTTAAGCCTTCATTTTCATCATTTAGCTTTTTGTTTTCATCACTTAATCGATTTGCTTTTTTTTCATAATAAGTTACTGACAGACGCTGCCTTTTCAACTGGTTTGTTTTAGTTAAAATTAATTTTCTCAAATGTTGTTCTTTTTTCTTGTTCAGTTTATTCATTTCTGTTTCTTTCCTTTCAAGTAGCTTGATTTTTGATTGTTTTTGTGCCAAACATTTAGCTTTCAGACTTTTAACTTCTTCAAGTAGACTTTTATTTTCATTTTTAAGCTTATGTACTTCATCAGCTAACTCCATGGACATGTCTTTCAGTGCTGAGACATTCTCAAGGAACACACCTTTTTCAGCAAAATCAACTTCATCAACTTTAGGTTTTTTGGGCTTGCCTGCCTGAGGAAATGTAGCTAGTTCAGACTTAAATGATTTTAGACGCTGTTCGTGACCAGGTTTTTTTTTATTTTTACTTAGTGTTCTGTATTCAGAATAAACTTTCGCAACCTTTGACCTAAATGCTGTGTGAGCAGCTTTCAAACAACAGTCATCTTTACTTTCAAACCAATTAACTGCATAAGCTAAGCCTTGACATTGAATACATTCAACCAGTTCGCCTTTTGAAACCATGATGAAATAATACTTAAACTGTAATTTCAATTCACTTTATTGAGATAATTGTTTGGCACTCTTTTTCCATTTTATCAATTTTAAACAAGTCAATTTCTGTTTGTAAAGAAAACTGTTCAGGGGACAAATTTACTTCATGAAAATTTGGATTAAAACCATTACATAAGCTGTCATGGTCATCTATAGCTACTGTCAGATTTCTTATATTCACCAGTGACCATTCAACTTCACTCTGTGTTCCCCTGTCATCCAAAGTTGTGCCGTAACAGGAAGTTTGTGCATATGAATCTGTTACTGTTGTTTGTGACTGTTGAAAGTCAAGTGTATTTTCATATTCAAATAAGCTCAATTTTCTTGACAAACACTGATTAGTGGGTAGCGTTTTGAATTTAAGATTTACAGTTTCATCAATTGCACACAACTCTGTTTGCGAGAAACTATCTTTAACATCATGGTTGGTGTCACTGTCACTTGAACTTACCTTCATGTTTAAAAGAAAAAAAAAACATGCCAGTTCCATCACCATTATCTAGACTAATACTTATTAAAGGCCAATAATCAAACAGTATTTGTTGCAACTTAACTTCAAGTGAGTGTAAAAATAACAGGCTTACTCTTATGGTTTGAAATGCGAAGTTGAGATAAGAAAACAACAACAGACATTGAGTATTAAGTAATTTAAACGAATCTTGCATACATTGTCACGTAGTAAACCATTTATTTAACTTGTTTATAAAACATATTGTATCAGTTGCAATGAAATACTTTTCAATTGTTGGCCTATAAATATCTAATATCCATTTTACATGCTAGCAGAGTTAAAGGTTTGGCAAGATTACAACACTAAATAGCAAAGTTAGTTTGGTTACAGAATTAACAATTGATACATGGGTAGGGCTGTCATTGATTATCATGATATAGATTACATCATCGATATTCTCATTTGATACAAATCGATACACAATTTAGAATATCGATACAATGTAAAATCTATTTCTACTGGCCTTATGAAACTATATTTCTACTTTGTCTTGCAGCAGCAGGCCTCCAGAAGATAACAGAAAATTCTCAAAATCCCTCTTCAACAACATTACGTAGTTGAAAGTAATCGAAATGAAACTCTAAAATGTTCATATTTTAACATTATTGCTCTGAAAACAAACAGTTCGCTTTTTTTGCCAAAGGGAAACACCTTCTTTTATTACACTACAGAATTCTTTCATCCAGGTTTTTTTGCCAGTACCAATTGATTGTACAAGGCACAATAGCGGCCTGTGATCCCGACTGCATGGAAACCTGGATCATATAAAAACATAGAGGAAAACAAGTAACTACCTTTGTTTTGATATTTGTAATAATGTGTGGCCCTAAAAACTATAATTTATTTATTATATAATATATATGATGACCGATTTATCGATTAAAATTTTAGCTTGAAATACGAGTAAGGCTTTACTCAATGACGATAGTTGATATATACGACTCAGGGCATACCAGATACCAGGATTTTTCCGGACCAATGTTGTGACACGTGACCGAGATAAATGAATTATATTCTCATATTTATATTGGCTACTACGTTAGTAACGTAATAGATCATGCAAATGAAAAGTATGCTATATTGACGATTCTGTCCACTTTCCTCCTTGAATTAAGATGTCAGTAATAATGGATTTGCACATTAAACCCAAGTACATCAGTATTTGCCGGTTAATAAAAATTTCATTTCATTTTTTTCATTCGACTATCTGGAGGCTAGTGGTTTCAATAGCTAATTCACTTGTGTATGATTTTCATATAAAACTAAATTCATTTTAGATGTCATTAAGGAATTCAACTGGAAAATAATCTTTCTGTAATTTTTTAAAAAAAATTTTGGTGCTTAGAAGAGGCATGTATAACTTATGATCACAGTTTAAAACATATATTCAAACATTTATCACTGTACTTATTTAATTTGATATATCATCGATATTTAACTTGATATATCGATACAAAAATTTCCATCAATGACAGCCCTATACATGGGTTAAGGTAGGTACATAGTGGTTAGTTTAAATAAGGCAATAATAATGAACTGTACTCATTTCTAACAAGTTTTAATTTTGAATTAAAACATATCAAATTCCTCAAAATGTTTTGAAACAGTTCATTATTGAGCAGCAAAATTTTAAGCAGACAAGCTAACAAGCATACACATTAGTAACAGTTCAGACATGATTTGCATTGACAGTACTTACAATGTATGTATTCCTTCTACGTTTCGGGCGGCAAAATACAGGGCTCCTGCTTGGGCTGTCACCAGTGTGGGTGGTGCCACTATGGCGGCTGGGGCTCTGACTCTGAGGAGTTCATTTATACAAATTAATTTATTACAAAATTTATACTTTAATTCATTTTGTAATGACTGATATTACTTATAAATAATTTTTAAATAATGATGCATTATATTTTAAGAAGAAATTAAGAAGCAAAATTTATGTGCTATTATTTCAGAATTATGTGACATTTTTAATATCAACACATCCATTTCGTTCCCTATAATGACATAATCATCATTTTATTTCCCGTGTAAATGTGCTGTGAGCATAAAGCCAAGCAAATGATTTTTCTAAGGCAGTTCAGGCCAATGGACATCAAAATATCGCTAAATTTAATAATACACCAATCGCAATAGTCACATATCAAGTTTAAACAAATACTAAATTTACACTGTCAGGTGTAGGAAACATGTATTCTTGGTTCATACCAATTTATTGTAACTCGATTGTGACAAAAGCTCAAAGCTTATAAATTTATGCTCAAATTGTAAATAAGAGGATAGTATACAAATTTGAAGACTATCAAGAAAAACAAGAATCTCCAGGTCTCTACATATATAGACATTGATAGGCAGATTTTGTAAACTGAGTCACTGACTATTAACCTACCGCAAACAGATCCTGGCTTGGGTCGAACAACAAAACTCCGGGATCACTATCACTATCCAGTTCACAGTCTGACATTTAGAGGGGGACTCTGAGTCATAAGACACAGCTATCTTCAAGTTAAACTGAAAATTAAAAAAAAAAAAAGAGCTGTCATTGAAAAGTGACTTATGCCCAGAAAGTAAGCTTTGACATAAAATTACCTTGGATATGTAAATGAATATAAGCCTAAAGAAATTCAAGATACTAAGCACAACTAGGCATGGTGACAAACAATTGTCAATTCTGTGAATTTTCATTGAAATTCTGCCAGTGGTTTTGGAGATGTATTATCTATCATTTATTTGTAAATGTAAATAAACAACAAAATCAGTTAGTATTTCATTTTCTTCATTTATTGTCATTTACGTGAATGGGTCACTTGATTGTTCGGAACTGGTAAATGCGCTAGAATTAGAACCGGTCAAACAACTGTAAAAAATACCCCACCCACTCGCATCTTTGGAGTCACATTCTAAATCAGCACATTGCTTTTTACTTACACTTATATCAGTACAACATATCACTATATATATAAGATTTTAAAACATATTCTTCATATGTAAACATCATATTACTTACATTATAACTGTTATAAGCGTATTATTTGCAATAATTTGATGTATCGTATGCTCAAAAACTTTCTTCAAATTGAAGAGTATTTAACCAAGGGAAGTAATTTACCGTGCATGGTAAATGTGGGGCTCACAGTAGTAATTTTCAAACTAATAACGCACAAAAGCGCATGAATACATTTTTAAAGAAATGAAATAACTACAAAATTAATAAACAAAAAAACAATAAAATAGTATTTTCATAAATTTATATTCGGTAATAATATATAAAAGTGCTCTGTTAAATTGACCTTAACTTAAAAAGCTGAACAAATGTTAATTTTTATTTCATACCTCACCAACCTCTATTTCTCCCGTTGGGAACCTCTTATATATTCAGCACAGTGCGCAAATCCATCGATATTTTCATTGGTTGATCTAAAATAGTTCTCTGACATCAACCTACTGAAACGGGTTTTCCCAAAAAATCAGCGTCCATATATGTAATAGCGGATGTAAACAGAAGATAGATTGACTTCATTAAATGAATCGTATGTCTAATTATAAGACTTTTTTACGATATACAGAAGTTTCATATCTATGTTATTGATAAATTGTGAGTTTTTGTCCTAGTTGATAGTAATTATTGTGCATTTGATCATTATTTCATGCAAGGTTCACGTTGCGACAGATACAATTAGCGCATGCGCAAAATCGGCTGTCCTGGCTATAATTTATGTGATTCTAAGCGGAGTTTTGGATCGATGTTTAAATTAAAGGTAAGAATGTTATCGTATTAGGCCTTCATTCTGTTGTATCTTTTATCCGAGTCGAAAGAAAAAATGGCCGCCAATTACAAATTCTAAGTTTCAGGGGCGGAGGAATTTGTTTTCAAGAATTATTTCTTTGAACAAAAATACCCCTTTTTAACGAAATTCGCTATTTAAAAGTAGATTATTTTGTTATTTTGACAGTGATTATGTGTTACATGATAAATAGAAAAACATGCTACTGTCTTTTGATATCAATTTTATCAGGCTCGGCTGATATGGGCAGAAAGGGCTCGGCAAGCCTCGCCCTTTCTAGCCCATATCAGCCTCGCCTGATAAAATTGATATCAAAAGACAGTAGCATGTTATTCTCTATTTAACACTTGACTTGCTAGAAGTCATCCCCATACTTTTAGTGCAACATTAGCATGCACAACCGAATAATTCCAAAAATTGAAGGTACCTTAAGTCCATAAAAAGAAATTGGTAGGTTAAGGGTTGTAATAACAATCTTCTCGGTCACATAAATTAGTGAAGTATGATGAGAAACAGGGATATTGAAATATAATTTAGTAAATTCGACATCGAATTTTGCCAAAATTACTAGTCCAGACATTAAGATGTTGTAAAGCAATTTTTCAATTTAAGGTATTCATAGCATTCTTTAGTAATGTCACCTCTGAGAAAAGTTTTAAAGCAATTATTCTTTAAGACAAAAATATGAATCTTTCTCGTTTGGTCTAGAGTATTTATTACGTGTTTTGATCTTATTTTTCTTGTGTTTTTAGTTGATATAAGGTTATTATTTCTTTTTACCAAAAGGTAATAGTTTTATTGCTTGAACAAATACCAGTGCTCAAGCTACGTTTAATTGACATGTTTTATCATAAATCGTTCCTTCTAAGGCATAAAAAACGAAAAATAAAACCCTTAGAGCTATTTTTGTGTTCCTTTTGGCTTTTTCTTTCGTGCGTTTATCTGACATGCCTAGCTTATAATTGCCTATTTTAATATTTATTTAGTCTTTAGTATTAACTATATTCATATAAAGTTGTTTAAACTATATTAACAAAACAATTACAAACTTTTACAAACAATTTTTTGTGCATGGAAGCGTTTACCATTCAGAGTAAAACAGAAAGACATGCCAAATACAAAAAAGACTATACATATAATATCTTAGTTTTTTTTCGATTTTAGCCATGCTTAGGTTAAAGCGTTTACACACTTGTCATAATTGGGTATTTCCTCACAATAAGAATAAAAGTTTTTGAAAAAATACCGGACGAATGATCTGACAATTTGCAAAGCCATTTGCCCAGACCGGTATCAAATGAAACATAAATTTGTAAAAGATATTTTCAGCCCTGACATGTCATGAAAACATCATTTGAGTCCCTATAATTTCTTACAAGAACTAGTACAATCAATATGTGTATGTTGATCTAATTTAAAAAAAGTAATGCGACATGTTGGAGATAAGATTTTATTATTGCATGTAAATCAACAACAAGTGACACCTCGCATGCTGTAAACTAATCTGATGAGAAATTCTAATTTAGGGCTTTGACGATTTTTTAAATTAAATTTGAGCACATCTCCTAGAGTTAAGGGAAGCTGTAAAACACAAGATAAAGGTTAATCTATATTTATATAATTTTATGTGTACAAAACAATGACTTTGTTGTAATAAGTTTAATTATTTGTAAGGAGAAAGTTGTCAAATAATTAACTTTAGATATTGTTCAAGAAAAACACCATTTTCTTACACTTGTGTTTTGTGTACCTATTTTAAAGTTTACAGAATACAAATATTATGACATTGTGTCCACAGTAATTCATTAAACACGTACATACTATACTTGTACACATTATGAATACATTTGTGTGCAAACAAATATATCCAAAATGAACAGAAGCAGTTATTTTGTTTAGACATTTTTCAGATCCTTTTGAATCACTAATTCCTGTATTAAGTGATCATTAAAAATATGCATTTTTTTATTATTTTTATGAGTAAACTAAATAAAACAGAAGTTGCGATATTTCACCTACCATTGCTAATGACATTTAATTCGAGTTATCTCCCTTTTTTAAGAATTGTGCCTCTTTAGATTTTGATATCATTATTTAAAAGAAATAGAAAATGCTACAAAACAACAATTGTTTACCAAAAGTATGTGTAAGGACACGTTTTAACCAAAATATAAAAATTATAGAGCCTGGTCCAATTGCACGAACACACAGGCTGACTTGGCTAAACACAGAATGCAAAGACAAATCACATCCGGTTCCAGCAGATTAAAGGTTTATAAAATGCTCGTCAAGCTGTCAACATCATTTGGCAACATACCCTATTTTTTCCGTATGGTCACTTATATTGCAAAATAAATACACCTTATAACACATCATTAAAAGATATTAAAAATAATAAGGTATAAAAAGTAGAAAAAATTTAGATTGAAACAACACAATATTGTGTTGTTTTTTTCCCAACAAAATAAAAGCTCTAGGCCGTTTTATAGATTGTTCATTACTCTCGTATATAAATCATATACAAAATACGTGAATTAATTATGAAACATGCCAGTGTATTTATTTTTATAAAAAAAATCTGCTGACACAAGCGTTTCTAAGAACATCGAACAACAATTCGAATATGAAATTTCCATATTTTTGTTAATTTTCACTAGTAGTTACTTATTAAGAAAGTTGTTATATCATTTCTAATGACCCGACAGAATTCGTCACATAATCTTAAGAACGATTTAATGATGCACTAATGACATATAGTTAGAACGTTATTTCAACTGATTTCACATAATTATTTAATGTTACGCCAAATGATTTCATCTTTTCAGAGGAGAAAATAATTAAATACCGAGGGACCTCCAGTTTCCCTGGTTTCCCTTGACATGCAATTTTGATA